GGGATGGGGAATACATGTATATCCATGGCTGATTCATGCCAATGTATGACAAAGACCACTACAATATTGTAAAGTAATTAGCCTCCAACTAATAAAAAAATTAATTAATTAATTAAAAAAAAAAGGTGGCCACTTGTCTCACCTAAATTTTTAGCTATTCATTGTCTGAGGTGAGAAGTTACTGTAAGCAACAGACATATAAATAAGCAGCAGCACTGAGTAATATTCTATTGTGTATATATATACTACATCTTTGTCTATTCATATGTCAGTGGACATTTAGATTGCTTCTGTGTTCTGGCTATAGTTAATTGCACAGCAGGGAGCATTGGGGTACATGTGTCTTTTTGAATTACGGTTTTCTTAGGGTATTTGCCCAGTAGTGGGATTGCTGGGTTATATTGGGTCACTTATAGTGATGTGGATAAACCTCAAGTCTGTCACACAAAGTGAAGTCAGAAAGAGAAAAATAAATATCATATATTAATACATGCATATGGCATCTAGAAAAATTGTACTGATGAACCTATCTGCAGGGCAGGAATAGAGACGCAGATGTAGAGAACGCACTTGTGGATGCAGGGAAGGAATGGAATAGGGTGAGACAAATTGAGTAGCATTGACCTATATATACTACCACGTGTAAAGCAGCTAGTGCGAAGCTGCTGTATAGCGCGGGGAGCTCAGCTTGATGCTCTGTGATGACCGAGAGGGTGGGATGGAGGGGAGGCGAGAGGGAGGCTTCAGAGGGAGGGGACATATGTATAGAAGTATACATATAGCTGATTCACAGCAGAAACTAACAACATTGTAAAGCAATTATACTCCAATTAAAAAAAAAAAACAGGAAGGAAACACTGCAAAACATTGTTTCAGTGTTTGAATGCTACCAACCTTCAGTCCTTTATGAGTGTTCAAGGTTTTTACTCCAGAAATTATACTTTGCTATAATTTGGGGAACTCCCACCTCAAGGTGGGAGGTGGCACCTGTAATAAATATCCTAAAAACTATGTCATAGAAGAAAAATTATTTTGAAACCAGGAAATCTAATGATGCTGCTTAGAGAATTGCTACCTCTGTGATACTGAGTGAATCAGTCAGCCTTTCTGAGCCTCGGTTAATTCTTTTGTAAAAAAGGAATAGTCAGACTTTCTCCCATAGCTGAGGCAGAGATAAAATTAGATGAATGCGTTTCCATGTGTCAGGTTATTCACTGTGAACTGGGAAAAGTACGGCAGCATGATTTTCCACTCAGATGAGTCCTTGATCATTCATGCATTTGTAGCTGCTTAGTTATAATTTTACTTAGAAATATGATTTTTAAGAAACATTTAGAAAAAAGTTTCAAGAACATTTCTTTTTTAAACTTAAAAATGTCTCCCTGTTAACGCGGACTGCTCTGCAGGCAAGGGGAGGGAAAGGCAGGCTTTTTATACCTGAGTATACATGTGTGCATCTGTTTTGAGCAAAATAGGAAGTGGTCAGGGGGTTACTATGACTGTCAGAAATCTGTCCTATGTGCTCTGTAAAGTGTTTATAACATCAGTTTTCTTCATGCAGCTTATCGCTTCCCTAATGATGAAACCTCCTTAACCTCTCTTCTAAATAGGATGGGAAGATATTCTGCCGGCGGACAGCTTGCGATTGCCAGAATCCAAGCGTTGACCTTTTCTGCTGCCCAGAGTGTGACACCAGGGTCACAAGCCAATGTTTGGATCAAAATGGACACAAGCTCTATCGGAGCGGAGACAACTGGACTCACAGCTGCCAGCAGTGCCGGTGTCTGGTATGCTGTCTTCCCTGAGTGTGTTGTCCCTTATACTCTCGAGGGGTTTACAAACTCAGTTGCCTATGAGCTTTAGTTTCCTGCTATTTGTGATCCTGGGCAGGAAGATGTAGGTGCTGTGGCTAGGTAAGGGGCAAATGCTCTTCCAGAAGACATTCATTTTCCACTGTTTAAAACAGCATGCAAGACATTTACATAGGACAAATGTGGCCCAAGTTGCTTTGCAACTGATACTTTTTAGCAAACCCAGGACAATGAAAATCCCCACATGACAGATAGCTTTTGAGGCCTTGATCAGGAGTTGTAGTTCTTACAGAGCCAAGTCTTTCATTTCTTGGGACATAACCAATAAAGATTTCAGTATGAGAGATAACAGAACATAGTAGAAATACCAGGGAATGATATTGATTCTAGGCCATAGAGACCTAGAATTCAGTCCTGGTTCTCCCACATACAAGCTCTCTGTGTGATTGACTTGGGCTAGTCCTAGTGTTTCACTTGATCATTCTTTCCTTCAGTGTATACAAGTGGATGAGCACCTGTTTTGTAGGGCTGTTGTGAAGATCAGAGATGTGTGTGAATGGCAAATATAGTATTTGACACATAGAAAGTACTTAATGCACAGAAAACTACTGTTCATGTTTCCTGGATCAAAAAATTGGTTTCAAGAGCTAAACCATCATATAGAAAAATGAAGGGTTCCTTTGTATCTAAATATGGGGATACTAAGGGTATAATCAGGTTTGAGAAATTTCAGAGAAAAAACTTAATTTCTGGAACTGGTTCTTTCTGTTTCAGATTATACCACAGAGAGAGATTCCTAATGTTGCAAAGACTGTTAAAACACATTATCATAGTGAATATGATATTCTATCTCTGAGGGAATTACAGCCAGTAGAGTTGAGTCATAACTAAGTCAATTTGTAATGGAAACTGTTAGCTGCATTTTGTAATGTAACATTTTCTAAAGTTAATGATTCAGTCTATAGATATTGCATAAAAACAGGCATTCAGAGACATCATGCTGTAAATTTCCTTTGGATTTTCTAAAGTCACCTGGCGAATGTGCAGATAATCTTAGTAGAAATAATTCCTTCTTGATTACTCCTAATGCTGAGGAGTATAAGTTAGATATATTCAAATCATAGCCATTTTTCACATCTCCCATTCAAGAACAAACACAACACAGCTATAGAATTAGCTCACATATCAGTCTGAAAAATTGCATTTCTAAGAAGTCAGTCTTCAGCATTCAGAAGAACAAGTATTAATTTTAGACATGAAATTTTTACAGAATTTCGAGAGTATCCCCTGCCATTCCAGACCCCAATATTTTCTGGGAAAACTGATGCTAATGAATATAACTTTGTGATGACTTGAGAATATAGTGGGTTATATTTAATGTCAATAATTTGCACATGCCAGATCCCAGATGATGTAACAGTGAGCATGACGTGTGTGCTAAGTCACTTCAGTCATGTCTGACTCTGCAACCCTATGGACTGTAGCCCGCCAGGCTCCTCTGTCCATGGGATTCTCCAGGCAAGAATCCTGGAATGGGTTGCCATGCCCTCCTCCAGGGGATCTTCCTGACCCAGGGATTGAACCCATGTCTCTTACATCTTCTGCATTGGCAGGTGGGTTCTTTACCACTTGCGCCAGCTGGGAAGCCCCGTGAGTGTGACAGACGTGGGCAATCATGAGGCTAATTAAAGGCCATAATCTTGTGATGCTGACTGAGTTTGAGTTTGCATTAATTATAATAAGTGTCATGATAACAGAAAAGGCTACTTGGAGAAACAGATCTGCTATGTGCAGTTCAGTGGGGCCACAGTTGCCAGTTTATAGACTACTTGGAGGCTGCATCTGAGCTGTAACACTGTACTGCACATTAGTGATGTATCACTAGCCAGACAGAACATTCAAAACTATTCCGGAATGGTTCTCTTGATATTGCACAACCTCAGTTCTAAATCTAACACAAGCACCTACCTCAGTGTGATGTTGTTGAAATAGTACAGTGACTCAGCTTCCTCCTTTGACCTTAAGAAAAATAAGTTTCTCTTTATATACTAGCCCGGTATCATCTCTTTGTTCATTTGATTAGCATTTATTGACCAGAACTGTGCTAAGTATGAGGGAGATAAAGGAAAAAATCCAGAACATGAAAGCTCAAAACTTAATCTGGAATTGTATTAATAACCACAATAAGGATCAATACGAATCACTATAAAAAATAATTATGGATTGCCATTGGCACAGAGAGATGGGACCTAACTCTCCCCATGACTGCAATATAGACAGTCAGCAAAAGCATACTGGAGGAGATGATGTCTGTATTCCTCCTCTAAGGAGGAAGCACGTCATACCCATATAGCATCATACACATAATGATGCTAAAGTAGGAACAGTCAGTGAGGACAGTCATGGGTATTCCTGAGGATTTCCCTCTCTGGGACTTTGGCAACAGGATTGTGCAAAAAGCTAATGAGGAGGCTTTTTTGTTTTGTTTTTTTGCTTTTTCTCCACAGGAAGGAGAGGTAGACTGCTGGCCGCTCACTTGCCCCAGTTTGAGCTGTGAGTACACAACTGTCCTGGAAGGGGAATGTTGTCCCCGCTGTGTCAGTGACCCCTGCCTGGCTGATAATATCGCCTATGACATCAGGAAAACTTGCCTGGACAGCCATGGCCTTTCAAGGCTTAGCGGCTCAGTGTGGACAATGGCTGGATCTCCCTGCACAACCTGCAAATGCAAGGTAATTGGGTGTCCTGAGGATAACCAGGCCTCGGACATGTGCCAGAGAACACCCGCAGGAGGGCCACTCCTGATAGTTCTGAGTGCATGGGTTCCCAGGGGCGTGGAAACAGGCAGGCATTTGCTTCTCACCGGAGGTTAATCTGTCTGAATGGATGGCAGTTGTACTGTGTATAAAGGCAAATTCCAAGTGAACATGGAACAAAATAATCCTCTCTTGCCTGTAAAATATGGAATTTAAATAATTCACCCTAGGCCCAATTAGGGCTGATTTAAGCTATTTTGACCTGAATATCGGAAAGAACGGAAAAAAAAAAAAGATCTATTTTCATCCTGGAAAAAAATTTTAAGCTCTTTCAGGCAACTGTCTATGTTAGAAGAAAGTGTTTTATAAATCTATGAAGTTGTTTGCTTTGTTTAATTATTACAATGCCTAATGCAGGGACTTGAAGCTCCTGCTGTAAGATTTAATTAACTGTGATTATTTTCTTGTCTTTTTGGAGGCATTCCTGTGAGGCATCCTCACATGTCTTTAAAATTAAAACCTGACCCCTTCCTCCCTTCTAAGCTTATGGAGAGCTATGACTGTAGTAGACTTTAGGCAGGGGCAAATTTCTGCTGAAACATCTGCTTAAATTCCCATGATTAAGCATGTTAAAAATATTAATCCATTCGATTCTATCAAATCCTGGCTCAGCTTCAGACATCAGTGGAAAGATCCCAACTTGCCTTTTTATGCTGTTATAAATGTGGGTTCTTTTTTCTGAGAAGTATCATCTTAAAATGCAGTCCCGATAGGAAAAGGACATCAGACGTCATAAAGCAAAAGTTATGGTCCCGTATTCCTTCAACCCCATCAAACACAATGACCAGGGAACATATAGACCTATGATATTCAGTATTATTTCTCTGAGGTCAGGTTTGAAATTCATTTAGGAGAACTATAAAGGTATATTTACACTGTGTGTGCGCACATGCTTAGTTGCTCGGTCATGTCTGACTCTTTGCAACCCCGTGGACTATAGCCCACCAGGCTACTCTGTCCATGGAATTTCCCAGGCAAGAATACTGGAGTGGGTTGCTATTTTCTCCTCAAGGAGATCTTCCAGACTCAGAGACTGAACCAGCATCTCCTATGTCTCCTGCATTGACAGACAGATTCTTTACCACTGAGCCACCTGGAAAGTCCATATTTAATATTAATATGTGTAATTGATTTCTCATGAATTCCTAATAATTGATATGTACCTTCCCTCTCTTAGTCACCATGAGAGAGTCTGTACTTACCCCTAATATGCCCACCTTCCTGGAAGTCATTTTGGAGTTATTTTCAGGTTCTTTTTGGTATTTTTGACTAGTTTTATTAATGGCAATTTATCTTTCAGATGGTTAATTTTGGAAAGAATCTCAGTTAGAGTAATTGTAGTGAATAAACTGTGTGAACAACAAGTTGGAAATACAGAGGACTCTCAAACATGGTCTGAGTTCAGATGAGGTATATGAAGTTTCAGTGCCAGCAGAACCCAACAAAGGGGACCCTACAGGGTCTCATAAGTCTTGCCTTCCATTTTACTCCTCCTCTGGCATTTTTCTAGTAATCGCTTTTATAGCATTCATGGAACTGGTCTCAAAATGTAACTGATCATTTTGAATGTAAAAGTGGACACTGCGTATTGATTTGTATTCTATGTCTCTGGCTAATGCTTGTGTCTTGCACAGAATGGAAGTGTCTGCTGTTCTGTGGATCTGGAGTGTCTTCATAATAATTGAAGTATTTAAAATGGACTCATCATCGCAGAAGAAAAATGGACAAAATAACCATTCAACATGATGAAACAGGAGTTGGTGTTTGTTTGTTTGTTTGTTTTTAAACCACAGAATATTACCAAAGTTTCCATTGAAGGACGGTGTTTGGGGGTTGCCCTTTGGACCCACCATGTTGCTCATTCTTGCTAACCTAGTCTAGGTGACCTACAGTGCATTGCACTTAAGTCTATAATTGTTTAAAAAAAAAAAAAGTTTCCCGTGTTGTAAATCATGTTTCCCTTATCAGATCATTTACAGACACATTTAAATGATCTCATGGTAAATGTTAATGTATTTTTTGGTTTATTTTGTGTACAAACATAATAGAGACTTGGCTCCTTTTATTTATTTTTTTCTGGATTTTTGGATCAAATTCTACAATAAAGTTGCCTGTTGTGATTTTTGTCCCATCCACTGAATACTTAATATTCAGATCCCTGTGAAATGTATTAATGTGTGTATGTACAGCCTAACTGCCTCTTAAATTGCAAACTGTTGGACACATCTAGATCCCCGCTCATTCAGCTTAAACCAGCTGAAAGCAATTATGCTATGTTAAAGAAGGGAAAGACCACAGATATAAATAAATAGCTATTTTGAAAAGAACTTTCTCCTCCCTCTTACAAACAAAATGAAACAAAATCTCAAGCCACAATTTAGAAGCAACAATGCTTGCAGCCTTTTCTGGCATTGAAAGAGAAAGTATCTTTGCATTGGTTTTATATAGTATTTAATAACTTACAGGGCATCCGTGGGGGCTCAGTTGGTAAAGAATCCACCTGCCATGCAGGAGACCTGGGTTCGATCCCTGGGTTGGGAAGATCCCCTGGAGGCGGGAAAGGCTACCCACTGCAGTATTCTGGGCTGAAGAATTCCATGGACTATATAATCCATGGGGTTGCAAAGAGTCGGACGCAACTGAGTGACTTTCACTTTCACTTTAATAACCTTCAAGGGACTTCCATGCCTATTCATACAAGTTGCCATTATAGCATAGGTGCAGGGTATTATTCCTACATTATGTGAGAGTAAATCAATATATCCCAATCAACCAATTTGTTCAGATCTAGTTGACTTATTGGGATTGTTAATCAGGTCTCCTAATGCCTTCCCAATGATATTTTGGACTAAATCATGCAACATCTTATATGGTAGAGGGTATACTTTTAAGAAAGCCATTTATATATTCAGTAGCTGTTTTAGAACACTGAATATTTTTATTTGAGCCATACCATTATTTTTAAAAGTTGGCAGTTACTGAGTTACACAAAATGAATAAAATGTGCAAATGACATTGTATCTGAGCTGAAAATTCAAACTTAGGTTGTAGTTTCAAGTGAACTACATCTTTGTGTTTCCAATACCTAAGGATTCTGAATTCATCATTGTGCTGAATCAAGTTGGTTCAGGAAATCTTGTGCATAAAAATCAAAGCAAAGGCCTAAGTTGTTAAGTCAGTTATGCTAAATATATTTTAAATCCCCAATATTAATGTAATTATTAATTAAAATTACAAGTTCATATCACTAATTTTTTGATATTTGTCAATATTTTGTGATGATATAATTCAGTACATGAGATCAATTTCATGTGCTAAATTATGATATAGCAATTAAAGCTCTATTTAACAACTACTGCTATAGTATGGTAAATTAGAACACATCTCTACTTTAATTATTTAAATGTATTTCTGGAACAGAGATTTTGAAAGTCATCTAGAAAATATTTAGGGAACCTCCATGAAAAATAGCTGTCAATTATCAATGCAAAAACAAAGGCAAATTAAGAATCATTTGTGATTATATAAGTGAGGGGCTGGCAAACTCTGCTCCCTTGAATCAAATCTGGCCATCTGCCTATTTCATTGGAACACAGCCATGCACATTCATTTATATATTCTCTATTGCTGAAGAAAATGACAGAACTGAGTAGTTCCAACAAAGATACAAGACCAAAAATATCATCATTTTGCCTCTAAAAAATGTTTGCCAGTGTCTGGTGTAAATGATGACTAAACGTTGGTATGAATTTTGGAATATCTGTTTCCATTTTTTTCCAGGGAATTTCCAGAATTTAATAGTTTTCATTGAATCTGTATATTTTCATACTTTGTTGCAGATCCATTAGCATAGATGGCTTATCCTAAAAACTGGTGTTTTACAACTGCAATCGTAAGACTCAGCATTTTCTTTTCATTTCAGTTCAGTTAAATTTAATCTGTGCTAACTTGACAAAATGTTATTGATATTTAGTAGCACAATTGAAACTACTGCCAAGTCCTATCAATAAGAGGTTTACTTCCTATGAAATAATTGATGACATTTTCTTATTAAAAATTGAGTACTTTATGCATAAAGTACTATACTAAGCTCTGCTGGGGAAATAAAAAGATGAACAGACTAGTTTTTACTTTAAAGATCACCATTATGTGGTCCTTTAGAAGGTGCTAGCAATCTTTAATCCATGAGGGGATCCTATTGAAATAAATTACTGCTTGAAATATCTCCAGCCAGAAACTGAAAAAGGTTATTTTTAAAAGTGTGGTGAATCTCCTGATGGAAAGTGTCAAAGTCTCGTGCTCTGATTTACAGTGTGAAATGGATGTCCATTTAATGAACCAAAAAGTGTTTGACAAACAGATCTCATTACAGATTATAACCATTGTCTGGAACTGTAACATACACATTGGTAAGAAACAATGGTAAATGCATAAGCAATTATGTAGCTACCCTCCAGTTTTCAATATTGTAAAAGCACTGTGATTCAGGAGAGTAGAATATGAAGGGAGATGAAAGTCCTATGTGTTAACAAGAAGCATCTATTAAACATAAATTTTGCTTCATTTCCTTCTCAGTTGCATATGAAATATATGTATATACATATATCATGTTTTATATATAGGTACCATAATCTATCTACATATACATATTTATATGCAATTGATATATATTAATATACTATGTATTCATATGCAATGTGTATATTTAGTCAGTCTCAGAGCTTCCCCTCTTCTAAGCTTTCTAGTGCTACACTAATTGTCACTGTTAAGGACTTAATATACATTTTCCTTGTATTATGCAATAGGCTAAGCTGTGTACAGTCTTTATTTTCTAGCATTCAGCCTAGTACCTTGCATAGGGTAGTTTTTCTATTAATTCTTTTAAATTCATAATCTTCTATAGAATCAAAAAGTTTTCATGGGGTGTGAAAGCAATCTACTCTAGTGGCTTTCAGATGTTCTTAAGCAATAAGACTGGCTTAAAAATAAAATTTATTCAGTGCTTTACTATAAAAATTAGATAAAAGCAGAATATCTCTGCTTGGAACAAAGGTTGGAGAACTAGAATACTTTCATATATCCCACCACAACTCACAGACATCAACAGAGCACAGCTTGAAAGCCACTGATCAAACTTGTCACCTTCACTTCTGCAAATGAAACCAACACTCAGATATTAGGTAGATTGCCCAGAGTTCATAATTAACTTGTCATAGACTTAGAACCACCACCAGTCCATCCTAGTTTTCTCTTTGCCATCATCATAATGGTTTCAAATCTTTTTTTTTTTTCAAATTTCAATTTCAAGTGAACTTTTCTTATTCCCTCCAATGGATAACACCAAAAAGCAGTCATAAGTTTAGTCCAAGATAGTGGAGTAAGAAGATCCTGAGCTCATCAGCTCTCACAGCCCCAGCTATTGAGGAGAGAGACCAGAATATAATAGAAAAGATCTTCTACAACTGAAGATATAAAGAAGGAACCATAATGAAATTAGTGAGAGGGATGGAGTTATGATATTGTCAAGACCCATAAGTCCAGGTGAGTGACCCACAAATGGGAGAATAATTGCAGCTGCAGAGATTCTCCTTAAGAAGCAATGAATCTGAGTCCTACATCAGGCTCCTCAGGCTGTGAGTCTTATACCAAGAAAAGGAGCCCCCAGAACATTTGAAGGGCATCAGGACTTTCTTTCAGAAGATGCAGATACCTATGGGGAATAGAGACTCCACTCTTAAATGTTGCACACAAAATCTCACACACTCCAGGACCCAAGGCAGAGACCTGAGTCACATCTACCTGCTGATCTTGGAGAGTCTCCTAGACAGTCAGGAGGCAACTGAAACTCACCCTAGAGATAGCGATACTGGTGGGAGTCGTTTATTGGAGACTGTTCTACCACATGGACACAGATGGTGGCAAGTGCCATTTTGCCAATCCTTCCTTTAGCTTATTAGCACTGAGAGTTTTCCCTACTTACTAACCTGTAGGCCCAAGTACTAGGATGCCTCAGGCCAAGCAATTAGTCAGGTGGGGGAAAGGCCACACCCACTAGTAGGTAAGTTGCCTTAAGACCTCCTGAACCCACAGCCACTCCAGGACATGACCTTGTCCACCAAGGGGACCCAGCTTCAAATACCAGCAGACAGGAACTAGCCCAGGAACCCCTCAGGGCTCTGCAGCAAGAGACCCCAGAATTCAACTCTGCCCACCAATGAGTAGGCACCAGCCCCAGGACCCCCAGAGCCCTAGATCCACCCACCACCAGGAACTGATACACCAGTTCCAGGACCCTGAGGACTCTACAACTAGAAACCATGGGACTCAGGTCCACCTAAGCAGTGTGGAGAGAACAGTCCTGGGACCACCACAACCCCCCAGTATACAGTGGCAGAAAAATCACCCTCCTACCAGCTAGACCGCACCAGCCCGAGGAACCTCTCAGCCCTGGTCCTACTCACCAACAGGCCAACACCAGTTCTGAGATATCGTCGGCCTCTCAGCCAGCTGTCATGGGATCTCATCCCTTCCAACAGTGGGCCAACACAAATTTTAGGACCCTGAAGTCAAATGTATAAGCACCTGGCCCTGACTACCAGTGGACTAATAGGACACCCAGGGCTCTGCACCCAAAGACTCAATGAGTTCTACCCACCGGTGGGTGGCCATTAGTCCCAGATTCCCCTGACCTTGAAACCTTCCCAGTAGCAGGTGGACATGAGCACTAGGATCACAGTAGCCCCATAGCCTGTCTTGTCAGGACCCAGCAAACATACCACTAGGCCTACATCAGCCCCAGGACACCAAGGGCTTTGGTCCTGCCCACTAGACCAATGCCAACTCTGAGATACATTGATCTCAGCCAGCTGCCCTGGAATCCAACTCCACCCACTAGCAGGTCAGCCCTAGCTTTGGGATGCCTAGGAAACTGCTGCCAGCCACGTCTGCAGTACCTACCAGCAGGCCAACACTAGACCATGGAATCCTGGCCCCACAACCTCCCAACCCCAGAACCTACCAAATACATAGGAATAGATACAGAAAATTGGGCAAAAAAAAAAAAAAATAGCAAAAGGAACATGTTATAAATGAAGGAATGTGATAACACCCCAGAAGAAGA